CTCTCTCTCTCTCTCTCTCTCTCTCTCTCTCTCTATATATATATATATATATATATATATATATATATATATATATTATATATACATGTATACTACATGTATATTTAATACTAGTACTTTGTCACTTGTTTTCTCCCATCAAGTAAATTCCATACTGTCTTTGCAGACAGGAAAAGTGATCTGCTTGAAGATAAGAACAAATGCACATGTTTTGAGTAATCTCGGATTTGTTTGTATGTCTTTCTGGCCAGATTTACGTAGCCTCTGCCAGGCTTCAGGAGGCGGCTATAGAAAGAATATAATTTTGCTAAATAGAGAGATAACATGCCGAGAGAGTTGGTCCACTAGAAAGTTCAGTTTGCCGCACCCGAGTCGGCATGTTATCTCTCTGGCAAATTTCAAGTCTTTCCAGCCGCCTCCGAAGCCTGGTAGAGGCTAAGATTTACGAGCCCGATCCCAGATCTGACTAGACATCCGAGATAACTCAAAACATGTGCATCTGCTCTTATCTTCAAGCAGATCTCTTTTGGTGTCTGCAAAGACAGTATGGAATTTGCCATGCAGACGTAATCCATTTGCCAGACCGTTACCATTTGTCTACTCTCAAGCAGAGGTTTGGGTTATTTTTGGCATTTTTATGCTTGTTTTATCCGGGTTTCAATTTCGCACTGAATTTTTTTCACCCAACCCAGCCTGAAAACTCCAGGTTTATCTATGATTCTCCGTTTTTTCAATGAATCTCCTGATGCTTTATCCACGATTCTCTATGTTTCTCCAACATTCTCCAGCTTTATCCACGTATCTCTATATCTCCAGGCTTCTCAACAATTCTCCAAGTTTCTACAAGATCCTCCATGTTTGTCCATGTATGTCCAGAGTTCTAAATGATTCTCCCTGTTACTACTAGATTCTCCATGATGATTCTCCAGGTTCATCCACGATTTTTACGTCTCTCCTATGCTCTCTAGCTTTATCCACGATTCTCCACGTTCTCTATAGATATAGCAGGTTTTATATAGACACGGACCGTAGTAAACTTCGGGTAGGTTGTTGACTGAGAAGTTATGGGTTCCAGGCTGATAACGAAAGAATCGTTTAATCTAAAGGAAAACTAAAATAGTCCACAGTTACCCAGTATTATGGTCTTTCTCCGTTTGAAAAATGTTTTATCTGTCTCGAGTTGAACATATTCTATGACTTCTAAATGTTCTAGAAGTCAGTACATACAGCGCCGTACATACGCCCCGTGCATATAGACACAGATCTAGACCGTAGTAAACTTCGGGTAGGTTGTTGACTGAGAAGTTATGGGTTCCAGGCTGATAACGAAAGAATCGTTTAATCTAAAGGAAAATTAAAATAGTCCACAGTTACCCAGTATTATGGTCTTTCTCCGTTTGAAAAATGTTTTATCTGTCTCGAGTTGAACATATTCTATGACTTCTAAATGTTCAGGAACTCAGTTCATACAGCGCCGTGTATATAGACACGGACCGTAGTAAACTTCGGGTAGGTTGTTGACTGAGAAGTTATGGGTTCCAGGCTGATAACGAAAGAATCGTTTAATCTAAAGGAAAACTAAAATAGTCCACAGTTACCCAGTATTATGGTCTTTCTCCGTTTGAAAAATGTTTTATCTGTCTCGAGTTGAACATATTCTATGACTTCTAAATGTTCAGGAAGTCAG